AACACCCGAATCTGGGGGTTGAGTATGAACACTGATTCCAGGGATGGATGCTGTGGTGACTATCTGAACCTTGGGGTCCAGCATGACACTGTGTACAAAAGTTGACTGCTGGAGTGAATTTCCAGAATCTGTGTGCCTGGTATGACAGCTTTATAGTCTTGAAACAACAGAGCTTTAAAAGAGATGTCCTACCTCCTTGAGACACCAAGCTAAATTGGGTTATATACAGCGGTATGTACTAGATTTCTCTATGCCCTTTACTTTCGCCAGTGTCCAGCCTCCTACAGGCGGCAACCATACCCATCAACCTGTGTCATCTGCAGCAACAAGTTAAAAGTGTGTTTTGGCACTGCTTTAGTACTTATATTATGGATTACTTTGATGGAAGACTGTGTAGTGAACCACATGTCTGTAAAATGGCACTAGTATAAAGGGGGCAGGATTTATGTAGTTACTGCTCAGATGAAGGCAATTGCATTTGCGGTTTGTAGATTTTGCTGAGTGAATTCAAAAGCAATGTGTGCTTCTGATTCATTGCATTTGCAATAACTAGGGATGTCCCGATACCACTTTTTCAAGACCAAGTACAAGTACTGTCCCTCATGTACTTGCCGATACCAATTACCGATTCTTTTCTTAAAGGGGCATGCAACATTTTTTCTAAAACAATGCAGACTAATGATTTTAGGGCAGTTTCTTGCGGAGCATGTTCATAATATTTCCCGCAACCAATCTAATGTCTCAGTCATTGCTTCATATCAGTAATTCTTTGTATAACTTCAAGTTTAATTGGGAAAAGTGGGACAGATTGGAAGAAGCAGGGAAGAATTGTTGCTCTATTTCTGCAACCTGATCATTTAAAGAGTTATAATTCTCCAACGCTAGCTGGAATAGGTTAAATCAATCGATCCATAGTACACAGTACACACTTGTAGTACACTGCATAAATAGTTAAAATTCTCCCCAGCTAATCAGAATAGGTTAACCGGTTAATAGGTTAAATGTTAACCTATCCACATTAGCTGGGGAGAATTGTATTTCTGCAGTGTAGTGGAAATGTGTACTGTGTACTATGGATCATTTAACGGTTCAATGATCCAGAGTACACAGTTCCAGGACCAGTACACTGCAGAAATAGAGTTACATGTCTTCCCTGCTTCTTCCAATCTGTCTCAATTTTTCATATCACACCTACAGCCAGCCCTGTCACAGCTGCCACATACAAAAGCAAAACATACAAGCAGGGCCAGATTTACTTTCTCTGCTGTCCCAGGGCCAGATTCTTCAATGTGCCCCATCCCCGCCAAACCTGCGGTTGTTGAGGATCTTGGTGCCGCGGGCGTGGCGCTGTCGGCGGTGGTGGTGTGGGGGGTTGTGGCGCTGTTTGGGGTTGTGGCGGTGCCGTCCCTCTGCTTCTTGCTTTGGCGCTGCATCGAGGCATCCGCATCTTTTGCATGCGTCATTGAGGCCGGTAATTAATGCAGATTTATTTGATAGGCAGCAACTTGTTTACTGATAGCTTGTTGGTCTGTTTGATGGATCCAATTGCATCTCTTTCACCTCCGTGGCGATTGGGGGCTTTGTCGCTGCGCATGTGGGGGATTCTGATGTTTCCAAACAGCGTTGGAGCAGGGAATGGAGGAGCGGCACTGTCAGGTGGGAACCCCTCTCACTGACAGTGCTGTACCTGCGTCATTGAGATCTTTAATCACCACAGTGGGGATGGAGATTTGGTGGAATCAATTTAATAGACTAACAAGCTGTGCAGCCCCTCTACTCCCTGCCGCCCTGAGGCAATGGCCACAGTGGCCTTGTAAAGAATACAGCCCTCTGAGCAGCATGGGTTTCTGGAGTATGTGATAAGGCAGCCTGTAGGTAGGTTATCCTGGGCTGTGATGAAGCAGCTTGTGTAGATAATCTGTGTCTTTATGTTGCCATAAGGCAGCTATGTTAAGGCATCATGCAGCCTCTAAATATGGAGGGGTTAATTGCAGGCAGACTGTGGTTATGGAGGGGTTAATTGCTGGCAGCCTGTGGTTATGGAGGGCATTCTCTGGTGTTGGAGGGGTTTAGGCAGACTGTGGTTATGGAGAGGGTAATGGCAGGCATTCAGTGGTGGAGGAGAGTGTAAGGAAGCCGTGGTGATGGAGGGGTTTATAACAGGCAGCCTTGCTGTACGGACCTCGGGTGTAGCAGCTCCGGAGGAACGTGTAAGTGAGGAAGTCCCATCTCTAGGATGGGGGAGGGGAGAGCTTTCACAGACACACAGATGGACACACTCACCAGGTAAGAAGATCTAGCTGCAAAGCGAAGTGCCCGTGGCCCGGTATCAGACTCCCAGCTGACATGCCATGCTTTCCTGCACCTCTGTCGCTCTCCTGGCCGTGCTGTGGGAGGAGCTTCTGTGAGGTCCTAGTTCAGCTGCCCGTACAAGCGCGGTACCTCGGGGCAGCCTGATACTATTTTAAAAATGAAAGTGCCGGTATCGGCGCTATGTATCTGGGCATTTTCACAAGTACTTGTGAAAATGCCCTGTATCGGCCCCGATGCCGATGCTTGTATCGGTATCGGGACATCCCTAGCAATAACCATAAACTATACAATTTGTACACCTTCCTATATCTTCAGTCAACATATACTACATCAGATCTGAATATGCCCACATCATATAGTCTAGTACATTTTAATCAGGAGTAAACCGGGGCAGAAAGTAGGAAGACATCTTGTCAACAGTCTGGTGCCACTGTATATTAATAAGGGCTGATCCCTGATATCTACTACATAGTAACACAGTAGGTGAGGTTGAATAAAGACCAAGGTCCATCCAAGTGGTTGAAGTACAGCCAGGGTACTAAGGGACTGCTGGGCTGCCCGCCACCCTTGCAGTTCCTCCCAAGCAGCAAAGACAGACTGGGAAGGGAGACAATTGTCCTCTGGCCCAATGTCTCTGTAAAATAAATGGGGCCTGTCCCCCCTGTCTAACAGAGGTGCCGAGTATTACTTTATGTCAAGGTACTGCTAGGATGCCTCACCACCATTTCAATAATGCCCTTGGGGGAACATTGACAGACCCCAGATGTTGCAGCTACCCACGAGCACTCACAGCATGAAAGTCACAGAACCTCCTTCCAGTTCAAGAAGTACTTTGGTTTTTGTAGCACTGTCATTTATTTGAACCTTGAACATGAGCATCTACTATCAAATATGAATGCACAAAAGAAGCTGAACACATTTAAGCCAGATATATTCAACTTATGCAAAGAAATAACACTAGATAAAGGGAAAGGGTACAGTGTCCATATGTTATTTCATAGGCAAATTAGATACATGTCATTATATGTGCTGTACATTCTGCATTGCACACTAACACTGTAACCTGTTCTATACATTTACACACCTGTTTTGTACAATGTGCTGTATGGTTTCTATACCAAACTATCTCATTCTTTATGCTGTATTGTGAGTGTTATATTTTACACCATTCCATTCTGTATACTGTGCTTAGCATGTCACACAATCTCACTCTGTACTCTGTACTGTAGCTTTTGCATTCCATATCATCTCACATCTCTGTATGCTGTGCTGAACATTCCGTATCCAATAGTAATCAGTACTTTCAGATTGTTTTGGCATCTTTGCACATAGGAAAGATCTGCATGTAGGCTGGGACTTCTATAAAAGGGTCATTTGAATGTGTTTGCCGCCAAGGCTAAAAGCTCCCATTCCTCCCCTGCATGTAATGTAACACTTTGCAGCATGCAGGTTGAACTGGATGGACCCTTGTCTTTATTCAATCTTACCTAATATGTTACTATATATATTAGCATTAGCATAATTCAGTGGCACAGTCTCATAGAGGGGAAAATGTCCATGTTCCCATTGCTGACTTCTTTTTTAACATACTATTTACCTGGCAATCATTTTGACAAATACTTTCTGACTCACTGACTTGGAACAAGAACACAACCAGTGAAGTTGAAACTCCTCATTTACCAATGTGTTGTTGGTCTATAAGGGCTTGTTCACACCAAGCGCGTTCCAGGAGCAGAGCAGATATGTTACAGACCGGATCAAAACTGCGTCCAATGTATTCCAATGGTATTTTGGGCTCTAGTTCACACCGCAGTGTTCAGTTCCAGAGCATGTAAAAAAAACTGCAGCAAGCCCTATTTTACCTGCTCTGGAACGCTCTGGAATACATGCAAACGCATCAAAAATGCATGCAAACGGCCTGGAAGGCACTGAAAACCCATTTTAAAAAGAAGAAACCTGACCAGCTCGAGACGCTGACTCGAGTATAAGCCGAGGGGGGGACTTTTCAGCAAAAAAAATGGGCTGAAAAACTCGGCTTATACTCGAGTATATACGGTATATTTTTTTAAAAACCAAAAACGGCCCTGAATGCATCAAAAACGCGGTATAACACACTGCACTGCGTGTGCAGAAACTCATGCAGATCTGGTCTGCATTTGGTGTGAACAAGGCCTTAATCAGAAAGCATTGAATCTATTCATTAGCACGGCAGACAATTGGCATTTTCAGAAACACCAGCAATAGCAGTCTCCATATTTCACTCAGTATGTATTTTTTCAATAGCATAAATATGTACAAAACTCAGCATTATAATTACTGAAGTTTGCCTTGTCCATTTCTAAATTTATAGATGAAGAGGGGGACTTTTACATATTCTGCAGACCAGTGTTTTTGCACTGCAGGCAACATTGTCTGACAGGTTAATTTTTTCCACACATGCCAAGAGAAAACAGATATAAGACTGTGGTGCCTCATATAATAAAAGACAAATTACCCTTATTACTAAGTGATATATAAGACAGCAGATAAGAAATGTTTTACCTTTTTACTGCTGATTTTTTTTATTATTTAAAGAGCACCCTGTACAAAAAAAAATTGATATGGAAATCAGAGTAAAACCTGATCACATATCTGTTGTGACTTAAGTCATGATCAGGTGAAGGTCCCCCTGTAACAAATTTACTCACGTTCATTATGCCTGCTGTTCATCTGATTGTACTGCTTTGTAAATTCTAACTCTTCAATAGTTTCCGGTCGTGGAACAGAGAGAGAAAATCGCCGCTTGATGTGCTTCATCTTGTTCGTGGAGACAGAGTAAACCTACAAGTGCAAGAGAGTTAAATGTGTGAGAGAGACTAAAGAAAAGGAAAGAGGAAGGGATATGTTATGTGGGACAGAGGAATGGGAATGAAGGCATTGGAAAGAGTCAAACAAGAAAATAAAAAAATAAGGATTTAATAAAAAATGGGGACAATGGATAATTCTGGAAATCACAAACGTTAAAGATTCATGTAGGAGAGCTTTCCAAGAAGGAACATTCAAATGCTGCTATTAATAGAGACATGTATATAGAAAGACAGCTTACATAATTTAATCAAATCTGTGCAGAGGGACAGATGACCATGAATTCGTATTTCAAAGAAGAAGAGTAGACAGAAGTACAGGCTGACTAAGAAAGGAGCAGAGTGAGAGAATGTGGGAGGACTACATCTGCTGCATCACTTATCACCGTCTTATAGATGTGATGAAAGTGCTAAAATTATTTCTTTGTCAAAATGGTGCTGTATACTGGATTGTCTCAAATTCTTATCATCCTATACCCAATCATTTACAGCGGGGTAGGTAAAGAATAACAATAGTATTTTTATTCATACAGAGCCATTGCAAACATTAATGTTCCCTTTTCCTTCCTTTAAGGTGCAGCTACTTCTGCTTTTTTTTCTTTTTACTGTAATTTGTTCCCAGGGATATCGTCCAGCCAACTCAGAGTAAACAAACCCATCCTTCTGTTAGGGCTGAAAACACTCATCTGCTGCCCTTCCCTATAAATAGTGCATTTCCAGCTAGGTTGACATTATATACATATATGAACCCCTTCACTGCCAAGTCAAGAGAATTTATGATATATGCAGGAAATCTCATGCGAAAAAGCAAGATTGCTTATATCCAGTATGATCAACTGTGATTACACAGTGATATATTTATATAAACAGTGTGGAAAATAATTATTTGATCCCCTGCAGATTTTGTAGGTTGGCCTTTGTTATAATGTTATAATACCGTATTTTGCGTTCCATAAGACGCACTGGACCATAGGACACAGGGAGGTCTGGCGCGCCTTATGGAGCACTTGACAGACCGTAGCTTCTGTCACAGCTTTTATGACAGAAGCTGTGACAGAAGCTGCAGTTAGTGACCGCTGAGACAGGTGGCGCTGTGGTTACATCGCCACGGTCTCAGTGATCACACAGAGCAGACGAAGAAAGTCCGTTCTTCGTCTGCTCTATGGTGATCTCGATC